AACAATTAGATTACAGAAATATGGGTTAATTAGATGTGGATGCTTATTAATCACATGTTATGTATAATATTAAAGTAATATATTTTGATGTACTTAGAAGTTAAAAGAATAAAATGTTATTTAACTCAAGGAATTAATTTAAAATTTAATCATTTATTATTTAAAATGTACTTTCAACGTATATCATTTCTGGTATTATTATCATTTTGCTGTATTTTATATTAGTTATTACCATTACCAAAGATAACTAATTAATTCCGCGCATTTTTAATATTATAATCTCGATTGAGACGCATAATAAAGATATTGGTTGAATTGTAATACAATTCGCAATTCAATTGCTGCACGTACATATCAAAATTTTAACTCAGTTACAGACAGATTATTTAATTCTTCTTTTAATGAAAATTTGATGGTTTTAATGGTCGATTAAATAATATTACTAAATATAACATTTATTTGAAAAGTAAAATTTATCATTGTTTTGATTGACAAAATGTTCAATATAAATTGTTATTACTTTTAAATTTTCACATCCTGAGAGAGAAAAAAATGAAACTGCGGAATATTAATAAATTAGGAAAATGAAATTAAAGCACAAAAATGTAGCAACTTAATTTCATTTTTCTCTTGATTTATCAAAGTCACATAATTTTACTTCTCTCGAATCGTAAAAAACAGGGAAGAATGGAACTATATGTATATTACATAAATTTATAAATATTTTCCAATCGAACGTATTTCTCTTAAAGAAATATTTTTAATAATTCTCTTTAAGTGGAATATAATTCCATTTAAAATTTTATTTGTAAAACTGACTAAAGATATTTTATACATAATAATTGAAATTTACTATTAGTAATCAATTTGTTAATATATTAGCTAATTTTTACATAAAGTACTAAAAGATAAAATCAATTAAATGACGAAAATGGACGCTTTTTTTATGGTACACTATTGTCTGCATTTATACTTTACTCTTATCGATAAATCACACGCATTTATCGATAAAAATTAGGTATGAATAAGGATTTATGAAAATAACATGACAAATCGAATGTTTGTAAGCCACGAATTTAATTGCACATAGTCTATGATATATTCTTAGTCCTTATCGTGAAAACGAGGGTCTCTTGTATCTAAGCGATTTTTTAAATTTTGAATATTTTGGAAATAAGTGAGTACGGACGTACCATTCTAGTCCTAAAAAGCTTATGGGGTAGAGAAAGGTGCCCGTGAAAACCCAATAATGTGTGTGTGTGTGTGTGTGTGTGTGTATGTGTGAACGTCATTTTCTCGCTGAGATCGGATATTCAAGATTGAACGCGAACACAAATGACTCCCGTTTATACATATTTTAACCTCTTAAAGCGCAAGAACTATTGTGTTGCGCCATTGTTTTGAAATAAATTTTAATTGAGCTTTTCAGAAAACGCTTGAAACGGTTATTATAAGATATATCATATCTATTCTTACTACTTCACGTTTGCTGCACGTGATTTGGCGCAAGATACGACTCCTGACAAGACTCGTCTCTCGACAGCTCAAGATGTGTATATTTTTGTTATAACTCTCAAAACATTCTCTTAGAATACTACTGAAATTTTTTTACTATATTTTATATAACTGTAATTAATATTTTTTATATTCGAGAAATCACAAAAATTTGTTTACTCCTTGGCTTGCTCTCGTAAATGCCTTGTCGTCTTCTGATTTATTCGAAATTAAAGAAGCATAAAGCTGATTTTAATCTCAAAATTGAGCATCACATGCAGCTTTACGATATAACGCGACAATCTCGCATCCTGGCTTCGTACCGCGGATCCGGAATACAGGATACTGGAGATGCTTGAATGTGCGTGTATTCGTGCAAACGCGTGATAGTAGTAATGGTGCGATATACGCGCCTGTACCCTCCACAGGAGATCTTGACAGGTCGAGCCCTGGGTATAGCTACACGGCGGCTCGCTCGTATATCTCAACCCACGCAGAAACATTCGTTAGTAAGCGATCTCTAAAATGGATACCTTAATGTGGCTTTCGCAAACATTATTATGGCTCCGCGACTCTGCTTTTCCCCAGCTCTCTCGTCCGCGCAAATAGAACTACTTTATTCGCGTCTCTTCGCGACCGCGCCGTCGCTCGACCCCATTTTATCTCGGCTTCAAAGAAGATTCTGCGTCGCATTAACCGATATAAGCCACGATGAATACTCTTGGGAATTATCCACGTGGCGTTCTCGCAATTCAGACATATCTAAACTGTTCGCGCGAAAGAATTTATGCGTAAGAGGCACTGCGATGACAGCGCGGAGATTTGTGAAGGGAAAAACAGGAAAAACAATAGCGACTAGCTATCAATCTTTTTACACACTATTAAGCAGCATCTGCAATAAGATTTTTGTGCAATAAATTTAAACTTTAAGTCTCAAGAAATTGACCAATCACAGTTAAGTGTGAGGAGAAAAATCGACTATAATTGAACAATTTCTCTTTTTCCGGCTTAAAGTTTAAGTTTTATGCCTCAAAATCTCGTTGTAGACACTGCTTTAGATATCAAAGGAGCAATTGAAAGAATCCAGTTCTTTGAGTTAAATGTTTAACTTCCATGTGTGTCAAAATGTAAATCAATCCATTTCTGTAGTTAGTTTCAAAGTAAACATTATCCATATTAACATATGTCCTTAAAAAATAATGAACTAAAAATTTAAACAAAATTCGATGTATTTTTTAAAATTAAATAATTTTATTCTAGTTTTTTGGTTTAGTTAAATTAACAATATATTGAGTAGGGAATAGTGGAGATTAATAAAAATAATTAAAAATAACTCAAATTGTGTGGATATCTATAATTTGACATTAAAGAATTTAACAGCACATTAAATCGTGAAGTCGTAACGTTAATATCCCTACAGATATCTAATAGTGGCCAATTTATTATCAAAAAATAAAATTAATAATTTGTTTGAAATACTGAAAATAAGTAACTAATTACTGCATTCCAATATTAAATTGGACAATATTAAATTTACGTAAAAATATAACTATTGCCAGTTTGTACTTAAAGTGGAAACGTTTAATCTACGTTCAAAATTTGTACTTTATTTTCTGGAAGCTTTGAAAAAGTGTATCGATATCAGTTTGCTTTCAATTCCGTGGATCGATCCATCATATCGCGACAGTTTAGAAAGTTTACAGCAAACAACGACTATGGGTAACGTAGAGCGATGAGATGAAAAGCGATGCGCCAGTTGACTAAGTTGTAACATAATACAAGATAAGAGATAAGCTAAGAAAAGCTCTAGAGATGTAGGGAGAGATCCAAACATCTGTATGTAGAAACTTTATAGAGAAATGACTTACGTATGTAGTATTTCGGTGTACTATCGCGACTTCCAAGATCAATTCAATATCCTACAACACCCAAACAGGAAGAAGCGGCATGCGGCAGGACGAGGGACGGAATATCAGTTGACTGAGCTGTAACAGAATGCAAACAGAGATAAGCTAACAATAGAAAAGAGAATCAAATGGATGAAAGGGGAGAGACCCTCCTCAACAGAAATGTACATATATAAAATTCGTAATTGTGACTGCTCTTCTATACGAAGCCACCTAGAAACATTCTTGCATACTGACGCATTATCGAGCATTATCAAGGACTCTCTCAAGATTGATCTATCATAATACAGCGTTTAAAGAGGAAGAAGCGGCGATCATAATGTGAAGCGATGGGACGTGGAACGTTGTGTCAGTCGACTGAGTTGTAACATAATGCAAACAGAGATAAGCCAACAGAGGAACTCGGTGGAAAGAGGAGAGAGAGAGAGAGAGAGACAGAGAGAGGGGAGGGAGAGAGAAAGAGAGCGAGTCGACAGTGGCGAGCGGTAGCTGGTCGACTGACAGCACCCAAAGAATTAGTATCTTGTATCTGGCGAAGAGTGCCACAAATCATTTGGGGAGGCTGTCAGACCTACCTTGAGCCCAATGTAAGAACCCCCGCCCCCGCGTCTCCCTGTTTCCTTTCTC